AAGATTAAAGGGGGGGGGGGGGTGTAAAGCGTTCAAAACTATAAATGGAGTTCAAGGCCAGAAACAGACATTTATCAATCTTTTGACATATTTAAGAAAAAGACAGTCCCTTTCCTTTTCCGGTCTTGGCTTTCTATATTGGAGAATACCATTCAGATGTTGTGGTGTTTGCAGTAAGTATACATATCTTTATCTTTCACATCTGAAGATGCAAAGGAAATAGCAGCTTCCTGAGTACCTTCATTCTTGGTTAAAGGTTTCTTGTCAGACAGTGCTGCCTGACATTTACTGACATTCTGCTTCGTATCACTTCGTACTCACACGTCACTATACTTGGGGAACAAATGCGGCAAAGAGTATTTTCCATGGCATTTAATGCAAGGTATGCAAGGCACAATGTTTAAGGTACCAATTTCACCTATTGCATTTAGTCATACCAGGAATTATTTCAAAAGATATGTTCTAGCAGAGCGTAGATTTTCTGACCAGAGCTCCAATGATGTGTTGCTTTCGGGTATTATGTTTTTTGGTACATTTCTAATTTGTGCTACAAAAAAATATATTTTTTCAGGTGGGACCATTGTTTATAAAAGAAAAGAAAAAAAGAAACTATCCAAAATCATAATTCTATTTAAAATGTAATTGAGCATAGTTTGTTCTTTGGAAATTGCAAAAAAATTATCCCTACATTCATTGTCACATAAACAGCCACTGCCACTGTCTGGAGTAGATGATGCTTATTATTGTATTGCTGTGATCTTCGGGTCACTGTTATTTGGCTTGTTGCATGTTACCGTTCTTTTCCATTCTGGTCTCTTGGCTAGTTGCTCGCCTAATAGCAGCTGTAGCAGTGTTATAGGTTTTGGTTGGTGAGAATTGTGTGCACTCTTTAAAGTTTTTTTATTTTTCTGATTGCATGTTAAATACTAATGTTTGTTTTGATGGAATCAGTTTGTGCAAAAACCTAAATCTGATCCCAAATGCTAAGATACTAAACAACAAAGAAATCTTCAGAGAGAAAGAAAACATTATAA